TATTTATATATTATATTATATATACACATATAATATAATATACTGAGTTTTTATTCTTTTCTTCTTATATTTAGCTCAGAAGCATCTTATATTATCTGAGGGTGTCCTTTCATCCAATTCAAAAGGAAAACACCACTACGTCATAGATTGTAATGTCTTCAGAATACATAAGCATAATGGACATACCTTGCCCCCATCAGCTGCTTCCTCCGTAGTTAACCTGCTTTTGTCTGGAGTCATGGTATCCTTCATTGACCTCTCCCTTTGGCTGGACTCCATCCAGTGACCAGATCGGGTACTGTGGACGGATATGACATCCAAATGATTGAAGAGGTTTTTATGATATATTTTAAGTATTTTTGACACTATTTAGAGCATTGAGGAGACAGACTGCTTTCATCATGACTGTCGGGGATAACGGACTGTGAGGGATACAGCAATCCAGCATACGTAAGAAATTACTTGATGAGAGAGCGATATCTTGATGAAGCCACACTCATGGCTTTTGTGGGCAATCGTGAGGCGCCGTACTGTTGCACAACAGAAGCGTCTGTGCGCCCTTTTATGTGTCTACTAGCGTACAAGCACTGTAGTGTGCAGGTAGTGCATGACACCAAAAGGATATATTTGGACCCTACCCAACAAGTGCTCAATTAAGGGCTTACATGAGCAGTAAAATCTGGCATAATCTTTTTTTTTTAATGGACGTTAGGCTGAAGTAAACGTCAATTGATATTTTCTTTGCATTTTAAGTAAGGCCTTTCTGACGATCGTCGACAATGGATATTGCTCCCTGAGGTCTCATGCACACTAGAAAAAAAAAACTACCCAAAACCCAAAACCCCAACAAACAATTTGTCGCAGAATGCAAGCTTGCAAACAAAGCATTTTTTTCCGCCCGCACGTCTCTCTTCAATATTAAATCTAATAATCTAATGGTAAAACCACAAACCTGGCTTTCCTCTTGCGAGCACTGGTGTACGAGGCAGACATATCGTGCTGTGAGTGATCAGGGTCGTGAGAGATGAGTCGCATCAGGGTTGCCTTCTGTTCGTCGTCAGGTGCCTCACTATCGGACGCTATTGAGGTCAGGCGCCGGAGAATGTCCGCTTTGATCTCTTTCTCTGGTCAGTTCAAATAAACAAAACAAGGTAAACAAAGGAGAAATACATTTTACAGGATCAGGTAGTAAAGCCGTTGCTATTTGGTGTATTTGTTTAATAAAGAGAACCTGACATGTTCACAAGCACTGCTCTCATAGATGAACCCTCGTTTCTTGAATCCATCAAAAAGGAAGACAGAATGTCTTCATTGATACCAGTATTGTAGTTGTTTAAGGTAAACTCATTGCTGGAAACTATATAGCTCTAGGTCAGTTTGCAGTCCTAGCACTTGGTCTGCCATAAGAGTAAAAAGTCCCTGACAGCAAGACCGGAACAGTTTTATTACCAAGAGTTTTGTGGCACTTGCAATACGATAATGGAATAAATATAAGTGTCCAAGGTTAGAGAAGCTGCAAGAGAGCAACAAACACAAACATGAAGGAGGGGAGATAGGGACAACAGATATAATTTGGTAGAAAAGAAGGTGAAAACCACACCAGAGCACGCGTCAACCACCCATCAGACCAGAGCAGCATGGCACCAAACTGACTTATATTGTGTCTGTCAAATTAACAATGAATTGGCTGCAAACAATTTACAATCAAGCAGCCACTTTTTTTTTTATATCAACGTACCTTTATCGTCCTCCTCATCCACTGTGGATTCATTTCCATCGTTGTCGAGGTTCTGTGTCAGATACTGTGCCAGAAACTGTGCGAAGGCTCCGTTATGAGAGATGAGCTCCTCGTAGGTTCCCGCCTCTGAGATGCGGCCCTGGTTCATGACGTAGATGTAGTCCACATCCGGGAGCCAGTGAATGCCGTGAGTCACAAGGATGCGTGTCTGGACATGGTAATAACATTGACGATAATACAAATGATAGAAGTAATAATAGTAATAATAATA